GGTTATTTTTTGTGTATTCAGTACACTGAATACAGAAAAAATAAAGAAAACCAACATATTTATTTACCAATACACAAACACAATCGCTGCAGCAAGCTTGTAATCATTTTTCTTAGAAATGTCATTGCAGGTACTTACACAAAAAAGCGCTCTGACATCCAAAGTCGCAAAAAGTCACCAAATTTATTATTTCACCAATTTTCCTAAAAATTATATTACTGTCAGATGCAAAAATCATATTGAACCACTTCTGGAATTTTTACTTACAAACAAATTCACACCTAAATGCTAATTCCAGCAGTAAACGAACAAATAAACTTTAGTGTGCTGGAATTAGCATTTAGGTGTGAATTTGTTTAGTATATAGTTCCAGTTTATGGTGCAGTTTTTTGTCTGATTTTTACTTACCTTACTACGTAGAAAAAATTAAAACAAGTTTATCTACAATCTATGATATTTCCGTATAAAATAATTATATTTAGCTCACTTGTGGCACAGTGTGGTGGAGGGTCAGATGAGCTAACCTCACAGGCCATAGTTTGGTGACCCCTGGTCTAGGGCATAAGGCCACTGATTACTAATCTCAGGATGTCTCAGCACTGATCTTACTTTTCTTAAATTTTTTGATTGTTTTCAAATTTATATTCAAATGAAACATATTTTTAACAAGAAAATTTTGTATTTAAAAAATTTTATATAATTTTTTGATTGTACAAAAACTTTTATTTCTATACTGTAATTGTTGAAAATGTATGCATAAAAATAAAGAAATAACAACTTGATTATATACATGTTTCCTTCCAACCTTTATTAATCTAAGTCTTTTTGTACACAATTCAACAAACTAAAAAGAACAGCAGAAATGATTAGATCACCATGCCAAAATATTATCCATTAAAACAAGAAAAAACTACTGTCTATCAGAGTTAAACAGTTTTTATTATCAACACAAGCATTTTTGACATTTTTATCAAAGTCATCTTCAGGCAAAGAACATAACTTTGGAACATTAAAATTTTAAAAAAAGAGGAACATTAAATATTCAAAAAGGAATTCAAATTTTTCTGAGTTAAATTTAAGCTAACATAGGCACAAGAATGGCATGCACAGAGATAAATCAGTATGAAATAAAAATAAAATTAGATAAAATAATAAGAAACATTTACAAGCCATTAGTAAATTCAGAATTACAGAAAAATTGGTAATACCAAATTGCATCATAAATGTTAAATGTTAAAATTTTTAAAAGTATACAAGTGAAGGTATACAAAATTTAAAAAAGAAACCAGCATTTACCAAAAGTAGAAGTGAAGATTCCATCCTTATAAGTCTCTCTTTCAATCAAAACTTCCAAGAACGTCAGTCTATGAGGCGTTAAATATACTTGAAATTATTTTTAATTTACGAGCGCTTTCGACGTAAATAAGCACGTCGTCTTCAGGTAAAATTAAATTCGAATAAAGAATTCGAACCATACATTTAAATTTAAAACATTAACGATACTAGCCGTTTTTGAACATACAAAAAAGATTTTAAATTTAAATTTTTAGAATTAAACATTTAAAATTGGTGCGCATGCGTTTTAAAACAAATAAACATCGATTGGAGTGGCTATTAATTATT